TGTGGCCAGATCTGCAGGTGCGTTGAGTGTTTCACTTCCCCTGTTTGCTGTTTTCAGGTGTCAGAATGGGCTATCGACTACAGCGTGTCTGGCGGGACGGACAGAGAAGGCTGGCAGTATGCAGCTGATTTTCCAGCGTAGGTTTCATATGCTGTTCCTGAAACCCCACCTGCTGCTTCACTTGGTTCAAACTATGATCTTGATTTATTTATCTTTCCTTTAATTCATTCTTTCGCTTCCCCATGTGTCTGTGCAGGTCATATCATGGCTATAAAACGATGAAGGACTTTGTGCGTCGTAGGCGATGGGCAAGGTACTATAAAAAGCATTGGTCTGTGCACTATTTATTCAGCAGGTACACAGCACTCTGAAAGTTGCCATCCCTGTGTTTGTTTTTTAATCAGACTGGGACAAATGGGCCATAATCAGCACAATATATTATGGTGTTAATCATATAACGTTTGTTACTGTAGAATTTTAAATTCTGGAGAGAATCTGAAATAATGTGCAGGAAGGTATTTAACTGAAGAGATTTGTTGTCAAGGACACCTGTTTATTTGGCCTTAATGCGCAGGAAGTGTAAACTGACCACTACAGGACCTTGGCAAGAAGTTCCCCCCATCGCACTAAGTGATGTGACCATCCTGCCATGTGCAGCTCAGAGCACCGTGGACATGGTTCCTGTGTGGGCGATCAGTAACAAGGGCGACGTGCTTTGCCGACTGGGAGTCACCGCCCTGACGCCTGCTGTGAGTCATTAATAATATGCAAGCGGACACCAAATGAACTGGTTTAACATCTTTGGAGAGCAACCATTAAAGCTTATTGTCATTTTTTCCGCTTGCATAACAAATGCACGCAAAGTACAGAGAGGTGCATTAGCACGTTGTCACTTATTTTTACTGTGGAGGTTCTTTTAGTTCTAATGTGGGCTTCTAGTGTGGAGAGTTTGAGAGATATTTGCATTTATTTCAAATACAACCACTTCAGTCAAAAGAAGATTGTAATTTCTATCAGCAGGGCATTAATGACAAGAAATATGATATGATGATAATGATGACTGACTAAGTCAGACGTTCCATGAATAGGAGCTGGTTGTGGGTTGAAAAGCGGCTTGCAGCATGCAGATTTGCCAGAGTTAGGGTAGCTATATTTGGCTTAATTTCTCATTTGGAGAAAGATAATTCTTGTATTATTTTATGCTAAATTTATTAGTGCTTCTAAAGACAAAAAAGGAAAGGGGGGAAAAAAAAGAAATGATGTTTATCAATGGACCAAAAACCTCCAAAGTTTCTTTTATTTCTGTTTATGAACATCTGAATATGGAGAAGCAGGTTTTTGAGAGGCAGTGCTTTCTCTGTCTGCTCTCTCAGGGATCTTCATGGCTCCACGTGGGAACAGACCAGCCTTTCAAGTCCATCTCCATTGGGGCTGCCAGCCAGGTGTGGGCTATTGCCAGGGACGGATCTGCCTTCTACAGGGGATCTGTGTCACCGCAGAACCCGGCAGGTCAGTGGGGAAAAAATGAAAACTGACAGTGAAGGCTGAAAATTTTAATTGCATTTGTCATGTCTGCATATTGAAATAAAATTTACTCAAGCAGATGCATTTTACCTGTGTTTTATGTGTGCGGGTGTCTCCCTCTGCAGGAGATTGTTGGTACCACATCCCATCTCCAGCCAAACAGAAGCTGAAGCAGGTATCTGTGGGAAGAACATCGGTCTACACTGTAGATGAGAACGGTAAAGCACAAAACGCAGCACAGATTTTTATTTACAGCTTAGGTTTATAAGTTACTTTTATAGATGAATGATGTAGTGTGTTCTGTTTATAGTTCCTGGTATGTATTTTTACGAGATGTCTGATGTGGGTGTTTTTCTATCAAGGTAACCTGTGGTACCGACAGGGTGTGACCCCCAGCTACCCTCAGGGCTCCTCCTGGGAACACGTATCTAACAATGTCCGCAAAGTCTCTGTAGGCCCTCTGGACCAGGTAGGACATTATGGCACCACCTTCATCCATTTCATCCTTAAAAGCTGAATGCAGTTAACAGATTTTACCTCACATATTTATAGGCATGGAGGTTCAGACTTCTTGTCTTTCTAATTTGTGGCGCTTGTAATGTAAAAGTGATTCAGTTCAGGGAACACGTACCACACCGCGTGTTTATTTGTGGGTGATTTTGTTGCTTTTGTTTTGGGGCTGCAGGTATGGATCATAGCAGACAAGGTGCAGGGCAGCCACAGTCTAAGCTGCGGGACGGTGTGCCATCGACTCGCAGTCCAACCCATGCAGCCCAAAGGACAGTCCTGGGACTATGGCATTGGGGTAAAGAAACCGAACAGTATGACTGGAAAATAACAGTTTCTGAACAGTTTCTAACTTCTATGCTAGTTTCATTTTAGTGGAGAGAAAGAATATCAACCAAAAAACACATGATCTCGATTTATTTATCAAGATCCTCAGTGTGCTGAAGTCGTCATGTACCCTTTGCAGAAAAACAGCTCCAATATGAAAGCAATTCAGTTTCCATCCAGGTGATCAGGAGTATTTGCGATTGACTGGACTGATTGTAATCTGTAATCTTAGTTCAGTCAGTGATTTGCAAATCAATTTATAACTTTTAACGTAATATGTTTTTTCTGGATTTTTGGTTGATATATATCTCTTTCCAGTAAAGTAAAACTACCATAACAAATTAGAAACTACTTGTTTCTTCGTGAGTGAGCAAACTTATTCAACATGAGGTCCGATAATTTCCTCTACTGTATATGTGTCATGAGTGAATTGTCACCATTTTTTTTACTGATCCTGTCCTTCCCAAAATGCAACAAAATAAAGGCATATTGTTATCACAGTAATGCAGCATTTTATTGGTAGTTGTTGATATTTTGAGCACGGCAGTCTCCAGCAGATATATTTATACATCACATTTTCCCACAGACTTAGATTTTTTTCTGTTATCTGCTGAAGTTTGTCTCCTTGTTTTTTAATGCTAAAAAGCATCATCAAGCATCCTGTGCAGCTTGTTCAAGTAAAGTAAACGCTGCACATAATCTGGGGTGTGTTCAACATGCTAATTGTAATATTATTTTCTTTTGGCTTGTTTATTTTTTTCATTAAAAAAGAGGGGTCACATTTTATATATGCAGTTTTTATGGGGGATTTTTTTTAATATGAGTTGGATGGGAGGTGTTGAAAACTACAATTACCAACACAAAGTATATCAAGCTTATTGCCGTTTGAAAAAAAACAAGAACAGTAGAGTAAATATTAGTTGCTGGAACACTTCAGTCTTCATGTGCAAACTGCAGTAGAACAACAACAGAAAGGTGTGGCTCCCAGTTTTCAAGGCTTTGTTTAATGCTTATAGACAGATGGTAAACAAGCTTATCCTCAGTAACAATAATTATCACCCCTGTGTCACTGTTTTTAGGGTGGATGGGACCATATCACAGTCAGAGGGAACTCTGTAGAACCGCCCCACATCCGTTTTCCCTCTCTAACAGACACCTCATCCCCTCGGAGCCTGCTGGAAGTCAGGAACACGGAGGTCGACAGCAGTACTTCAGGATGTTAGACAAACGCAAATTTGTGCACACAAACTGTATAAAAAGAAACAAAACTCAGATTACCTTTGTAGTATTTTTTTAAAGCACAGCTTATTTTAACACTGGAATAGCAAGGTGATCCTTAAATCCTGAGGTTGGAGTTTTCACACCTTGTGAGCCGGTGAAACAGAGCAATGGATCTCAGACAATCAGAGCCATCTCTGATGACAAACATGCTTAACTGATCTGTCCCTGTGTTGTTTTTCATTTGTACTAGGCATTCATGTGATGGTCACGGCATTTTTGTGTCTGTTTCTGTAAGTGCGGTTAGTCTTTTGCCATTGAACTTAGTGGTCTTAATTCATTTTTGTCCTTATTTATTAATCAGGATGTGATGTTCATGATATGTGTGGTTTTTGTGTATAGATTACCACAACAAGTTAAGGTTAAGATGGTAGGGGGGGTTTATATGAAAGATGTATATTTTTTAAAATGTGCTTGAATTGTAGTTGAATAGTTGCTGGACCACCAGCTTCAGAATGAGTGTTATTTTGCATTTTATCCTGTGAGCAACAAGTCAATAGGGCCAGTTAATCTGAAGTTTTATCTTTGTTTACTTGTCTGCTCCTTTTGTCTGCTGATCTGGCACAGCATCTGCACTACTGAATACTTTTATGTGCATCTATGTGTCATCATTTGGATTCTGAAGACAAGAATTGGGGTGATTATTGCATGTAAAAAGTCAGCTTGTGAGGTAAACTGAACCCACTGTTAGCTGAATGACACTGGCTGAGAGAATTGTAAAACTACACTCCAAAACACGCTGTGTAATTAGCATTAGTCACTTCTAATCAGTCAAGTATTGTTTCTAGACAGATCGTAGAGGTTTACCCATGGACTGCTATTTGGTGCCAGGATGTAGCAGCTGTTAGAACACCTACACTGGTTTAAACTTACACATGCCTTGTGCAAAGACTTCTGATGTTATTACCTAAAAAAAAATCTATCATTATCATGAAGCATGTACACTGGTGAATATTGTAAAAAAGAGGAAAATTACTGTAGTCTTATAGCTGAAACGCTCAAACTGAACCTTCCTCTTTCTCAGGAGTGCTGCATGCTGTTAACTTCCTTTGACATAATGGTTGTAGAATGACTGAGCAGTAAGGGGGAAAAAAAACATTATCTTTTGTTGCAAGATTGCAAAATACTAGTATCTACTCAGTATCGTGGCAGTTGTTATATTACACGGACTACTAAACATCATGCACGGGCATCAGTTTATGTCAATAGCTGCTTAAATGCACCTTCGCTGTCTAAACCTGCTGAACTATTTGTAAATGTTGCAAGTGAGATCTCTATTATCTGTGAATACTGAACATTGTGTGTGGTCAAAAAAAGAAACAGTCTGTGTCAATAATAAATACATGTATTTATTAATAACAACTTCTCAAATGTTTTTTTTCCCCCGTTATGATGTTTCACACAAAGTTTGCAGCTTAAACACACATGGAAACACAGCAGGGAGAGGGGATAAGCAAGTAACATACACGTTAAATAGCATCTGTGCCTTTAAGAACTCTTCTGTGTGCAGAAGAAGAGGAAAGAGCTGCGCGTTCAGATCAAGGGTGGATTATCATTGTGAGCACTTTCTTGCAACAACACCTCAATATTTAAGCCTTCTGCTTGGTTGTCTTTCTTTCATGGATGCAACAGTTATGGCTCGAGGTTACACTGAGCAGGTTTCTCAAGAGTCGATACAAGAAGATGGCAAGATAACACAAAAGAGAACAATCCCCTTCCCCAGTTTAAACCACAACACGCAAGAAGAAGAAGGAAAAAAAACATGAGGGTGAAAAAAAAGCAGCCCTTCTTTCCTGGGCACATACATTACACAACTATGGTCCATTTGGTTTCACTTTCCAGTCTGCATTCTTCATGTCTGCTGTATAAAATCCTTCCATATTTTGCATGGAGTTCTGCACAGCTCACCTCTTGCTAGCATTTATTAGAGGTCTATGATCTGGGGGGGGAGCCCACTTCCTACAGAAAACACAGCTGAACGTCTCTAAGAGTGTGACTGTAGGAAGTGGGTAATGTTTGATTTGTCCAGCCCTCCTCCTGGTGGCTCCCCTTGCTTTAATCTTACTGTTAGCTTTGCTGGCTGAAGCTATGCATACTGGTGAGGTATTGGGTGAGACCTTCCTCCCCCTCTTCCTCCAGGTGCTGCTGGTAGCACTGGAGGAGCTTGGCAGCGCTGGCCTCTGAAGGGACCCCGCCAGCAGGCAGGCAGCCCCCTGACATATCCAGGATGATGGTGGTCAAAGCTTTGATGTAATTCTTAGCCAGGGTCAGCGTTTCGATCTTGGACAGCTTCTTCTCGGTTTTCACATGCGGGATGGCCTCGCGCAGTGCTTGGAAGGCGTTGTTGAGTTTGTGCATGCGCTGGCGTTCCCTTTCGTTGCTTTCCAGTCGACGGATGCTGCGCTCTTTGGTGCTGGAGCCGTGCTTGCGTCGCCGGCGGCCTCCCTGCCTCTTGCCATTGCCGCTCCTCAGAGAGCCCCTCCAGGAGCCACGGATCCGGACCGAGGCCTCTGAGCCTTCCTGCTCACTGGAGCAGGCTCCGAATTCCGGCTCCGGGTCGGACCAGTTCCTTCTGGATGGCTTCACAGCCTTCCCTTTGGATTTCATCTTGCTACTCCCCTTATCTCTGACAGAACAGATCTCAGGTTCAACAAACCTGGAAGACAAGATAGGAGTGTTAAGGACAAGAAAAAAAGGATATAAAGTGGCCCGCTTCATAGTTTTCCTTCAGTCAGCTCCAGTTTAAACAACTTGGCATCCTGTTGTATCTAATCAGACTTTTGCAGTGTGAAAACTCCATGATGTTGGTCTGTTACTCCACACTTCTTACCCCACAGTTCAGAGATAATACCCATGTCAAGGTTACACTCACAAAAACAGACCTGGCAGCTCACAGCAACAGCAAAGCTTTTTAACTTCACTTTAACTCACTGCATAGTTTGGTTTCACATAATAAGACTAAACCATCAGCTCCTAAACTTATTTAAGAAGAGGTTCTATTACTATTATATATTTTAAATGTGAATTTACAAACAGTGACAGTTTAAACTATACTATCACACGCTGTCAGATAAAGCTGTTTTACATAGATAAGTACGCACAATAAAAAAAAAACGTGTATGTCTCCATCATCGTCATTATTTCCCTAACCTCAGCTTAATCACACCAACGGCAGTGCTGTGACCGATATGAAGATGAGTAGACACAAGTCAAATTCACTCACAACACAAATGGAAGGGAACTAAAAGCCTTACCTGGGAAATTATACTAATATTCTCCTTCCTGTTTCTTTTTACAGAAAAGGCGTCAGCATGCAGCCGGACATGATCAGCGACATAAAGTCAATTAAAGGAGCAGTGGGAATGAAGGAGCGCGAGAGCAGCACATCAGCGCGAGGCTCACAGATAACTGTCACACGTGAACGGCTACCTGTTGCTAACAGATGTACACGTCGCGCTGTTCAGCCAATCAGAGAGACAGCCCTTTCCTCCGCTAGCTCCGCCCTCAACCCTAAACCTCCCAACAACCTGCTGCTGTTGCTGCAGAAAGCCACAGATGTGCAAGAATTATACTGAACTTACATTTATACTAGGATGTTTTTGATTTTGATTTTTGGGGGATTCAGATTAACTTTGGCTCCCACTAATGTTTTCCAACGATACTTAGTAGTTGGTGGAAGCAGCATTCAAATCCAGGGATCATCTTATATAGACATGGTTAGGGAGACAGATCTAAGTGTCCTGCAGGCTGTGTGCTTTAATATCTGTGCTGTTCATTTGAGAAAAAGCACAAATAGCAGTCAGAACACGACTATTCAGTTCAGAAAGTGAAATACGTGGAGTACTTTTATAAAATATTAACTAAATAATTGGTTGAATATGCGTACTTACCATTCACAAGTTCCAGCTGACATTTGCATAGATTCTGAGAACAGTGAAAATTTGTGTGCAGTAGTTCAGTGATGAAAAAAATATTTAATTGAAACCCTTTCAGTGTTAGTTTGGCCAGTTTACCTGGTGAATTAGGAATATTCTGATGTGATATTTTTGCGTTTCCTGCTTCCCATTTCTAGAAAGTGTAGTCGTTTTGCAGTTGACAAGCAAAATGTTAAGGATTTACTGGCTAACTAATGTAACTGAGGAGTTTTACTTTACTGTATTTCATTTAAAAAAACAATTAAGGCAATATAATGAGATTGCAGTGGTGGAATTGAGTGGTATGGTCTAATATTTTAAAAACCCTTACAAAAACTGCTCTTTTTTCCATACTGATATGCTGATAACACGCTCAGCAACAGCATTTCCAACTGTGAAATGCTTTTTTATTCATACACGTGAATGCAAGTAAACCTTCTTCTTTTTCTGTTAAGCTGCAGACGTGCTCTTACCTTTAAGACAACTGTAGTAAAGTTAGTTCGTCTGAACAGTTAACATATTTTCCATTGTGACTTATCACCTTCTGCTGCTTCATTTGAATACAGTCCTCCAGGCTACAGCTGAATGTAGGCCTCGTTTAAACTTTGCTCCAATATTTGCTTTTCAACAGACAAACTTTTTGAGCTGCATTTTTTGCATTGCATTACTTCTGATGGACAGCCTCAGGCCACTAGAAAACTAAAAAAAACACACACATTACAAAAAACATGCCATAAAAGAAATGCAGAACAACTGCAATTATTAACACGCTCCTTCTTCACATGGAAATGTGATCTGCAGTAATCCAACTGTTTAACTTGGCAGCCTAATGCAGCTGTTGGCAGTTGGGATTACCTTATGTTGTGGTAGCAAGACTACAAAGACAGGGAGGAGTCACTACGGTGAGGTATACTGACTGTTCATCAGTGACTGCATTTGCAGTGTCTGCAAACATCTGGAAGATTATTGACAAACCCTGATGGTTTTCAATTCCACATTTTGCTTCAGTGACACATATACACAGGCAGAGAGACTCACAAGGTTAAATGATTGCAGTTATGCTATCGCAGTGCATAGATACTGGATGTTTATATATCAGGTGATGATTCCTCATTTGGGTAGGTAGGAATACATAAAAATTTAAAACGATGTTGGGGAAGGGCTTAAAGTAATGGGGCAATGGGCTTGTCGCTTCAAGCTACCTGCTTTTAACATTTGAGTTTTGGTGTTTTGAAATTCAATGTGGCGAATGAGAGGTGACTCTGACTGTGAATCTGAGACACAGTGCAGGCTCGTGGGATAGCAATTTGTCAGTCATAAGACTGACCCTGCTTTATCCTCCCTTTCGACTCTAAAGGCACCCATAATTTCCAGAATTAACATCACGTTTGATTTGGGGAGGTCTGAAGCTAGTGATGGAGAACATAATCTGATTAGAAAGGTGTTTACTGAGTTCAAAGGTCAGGAGTGCCCGAGGGCTGTTTTCTCATAGACTTCTACAGTATCAGCACAGTATTCAACAGTATCTATCTTTTAGAAACCACAGGAGTTGCTCCTGACTGGCCTCCACATATGTGGACATCACATTTTGGGTTATTTAGACCAAAATACTAAATTTTGCTCTACAAGGGCCTGATATCTTGGCTCTTATTTTTCTTAAAAACAAAAATAAGGTAAAAAATCCCCAATCAGCCCAAATATCAAAGAGAAATTAAAAATGTGTGCCGTGGAAGAGTTCGGGTCTTAGGAGGTTAAGACACATCCACATTGGCCTCACTTTTCAGATCTGGACACTATGAACCAGTTATGCGTTCATAGCTTTGTGTGCCTACACACTCACAAGACCTAAACAATGGTGTTGCTGTTTGTGACGAAACAAATCTCTAGAAAACATACAAAACCTCATGTCTATACACAGAAACCACACTGCTTCATGGCAGTTGGCCACTACATTTTTTCTATTCAACAAGTTAATGGCTAATGGATTTCTTATTATTTTAGTTACTCCCTTTAGGGGTCACAGTGGATTATCAGCCTCTATCTCACTCTATTTCTATCATCCACATTGGTCACTTCAACCCACTACTTGTCTTCCTTTTCTCCATCCATGAATCTTCTCTGAGGTCTTCCTCCTTTCCTCCTGCCTGGGAGCTTCATCTTCAACATCTTTGGTCCAATCTTTCCTCTGCACATGCCCAAACCATCTCAGCCTCACCTCTCTAACTTTTTCTCCAAACCTCTTAGTCTGAGCATTAACAACATTAGCACAGTGTTGGGATGTCACAGACACAGCAACGTTACAGGTGTGAAGCTCCCAGCTTTTAGAAGCAAACACTTCCAGCGTTTGATGCCCTTGAGCAGCTTGTGTGCGTTTGTGTGTGTGTGTGTACTTCTATTACTCGTGTTGTGGGAACATAAACCTGTTTACACAGTCACACAGTGGGGACTCGCCTCCCACATAAGGACAAAAGCCCCAAAAGTCCACATAATGTCAATCATTAGAGGATATTTAGGAGGACGCTTGGCTTAAGGTTACTATAAGTCTCATATAAATGAATATAAATGAATGGGATTTATTTTGATATCTTCTAAAGAGTGTGTGTGTGTGTGTGTGTGTGTGTGTGTGTGTGTGTGTGTGTGTGTGTGTGTGTGTGTGTGTGTGTGTGTGTGTGTTTGTGAACAGTAAGACAGGTCCTGCCAGGTTTCCTTCCCTCCTCAGCTACATTGTATCTAATCAACCAAACCTTGCTGAAGTTGCCTCTGTGGAAATATTATCTTTGCGCTTTAGTGTGCACAGTTTCTGCCTCCATTGGCCCTAAGGCTTACACTGTTTATTTTACCACAGCCGCTGATATGTTCTGAGCTCAACACACTTCAGTAATGAGGCAAGCAAACAGGGCCCCCGCAAGCATGCTCTGTTTGAGCAAAACAAACCATATAAACAACATATTTTCTTCAACACCAACATTAGCCTGAAAACTACAGCAATTTAAAGATAAAGTGCGACTGCAGAAGCACACAGGAGTTTGTTAAACACACGTAAGTTTCTGTTTCTGTTTCCTACATCGAGTCCAAGGATGCAACCTGGCATAAAGAGTAGCTTCCAAAGCAGTTTGCAGCTGGAAAGGCACCAGCACTCTTATGCAACTCTTATTTACCGTTATTTGACATCATGGGCAGTAATCTTGTCATACCAACAACTGTGAAAACTGAATGCGCTGTCAGAGAGTCCTGCTCGGCTGTGATGTCATGAATGGCAAGTGCGCTGAATCTATTTGGAGCAAAGACGGAGTGAAAAAAAAGCTATTAAAATCCCTGACTCATCATAAAAGGGGGAGGGCGGGTAGGAGATGAGTTAGGGTGAAGAGGAGAGATCTGGACGGTTAGTCAGTTTTTCCATTAGGCCAAGGCTGGCTCTCTGAAAGAAAAACAAGTGTGGATGTCACATTAGGCCATGGCGACAGTGAGATGGCCTTAGGCTGAAGGCAGACATTCTGATAGAAAGGCTGTCTTTACTTTACCACGTTTCATAAAAATCACCACATGCAGCTCAGTATGTGTGTGCATTTGCGTGTCACTCACCCTTATCTCACTCGAGGTCGGACTCAGTGACATAGGTGAGGAAAAGGCAGGTTTGGGGTAGACAGCCATTCTCTGGTCTGGACTGGGCAGTCCGGTTATGTGTCTGCAGTAGGCTGTAGGGATGAGAGTGCCCGTCATACTGAAAATGGCAGCTCTTCTCCAAAGCCGAGAAGTCATCCTCCCATTCGAAGGCTGCACGCAAAACCAACCACATGTATAATTAGCCACACTGACAACTGTGTGATATCCTGCAGTGCACGGTGCAACCCTTGGTCTTTTTACATTGTCATAAGCCTTTTGTTTGATACAGATAAAAAGATAAAACTGTTAATAACACTGCCAAATATTATTTAGAATTATACTGCTGTTGCTGATGGTGATAACATCACCATCATATTTTATGAGCTCATTGTTCCATCCCTCTGTAAATAAAAAGGAAAAAGTAATGTAAAAAAAAAACACAGTAACTTCAGTGTAGCATTACTTCAGTCAAACTGATGACATGGCTGATACCCTTATCTCCGTCAAATTGATAACTGTCATGTACGTCAGCCTTTCTACAGCTTCATCTGCAAGCCACTTTGCAACCCACCTCGAGCCCAGCTCCTTCTTTTCATGCCGACCCCAATTTTGTTGCTATGGATACCTGCAATAGTGAGGTATTGCTACTGCTCTCTCTGGCTCAGCTTTACATGATGATACTACTAAATATAAATTACAGCATGAATGAAGGTGTTAAGTAAAAGTGCAATATGTTTCACTGGTACAGTGTGTGTTTTGCTCTTTTTCTAAATAATGGCATACAATCTACAAAATCACTTGTGTAATTCTTGAAGACATTACCATTATCTTCTAATGTGACGCCTGGCAGGTTGGAGGAATAGCTGCTCATCAGAGACTTGTAAGACTCAAAGTGCATGTCCAGAGTTGGACTCTCCTAAGAATAAACAGGAAGTATTCAGTATTCAGTAACATGGTTGAAACAGTCCTGTTAAAAACATTTAATAAACACATTATTAGCTACAAAAAGATAAAAAGCCTCAAAATGCATTAAAATAAAGGTTAAAGTAGAACAGGAAATCAGTACCTGATCAAACAGGTAGACAATGACATCATCATCAAATGACACACTCTTCCTTATTTTCACTTTCCTGTCCCGTCCACATGATTCTCCTGGATGATTGTAGTTTTGAGAGGATGTTGGAAGTCTTCTTTGGTTGGCAGTATTTAAATTGTCTCTGTCAACATTTTCCCTCTGGTCATTCTCAGAGTTAGTGTTCGGACAGAAGGGGCATTGGGCAGTGGAGCTTTTCATAGCTGTCGTATTGTTGTTGTCACTGATAAGACAATCACTATTCCCAAGAAAAGTATTGCAATTCTGCAAGGAGTAAATGTCATTAAAAAGTTGTGCTGGCATACAGTCATCGCTGAAACTGATAAACTTATTGTGGTGATCTTGGCGGGCGGCCATATTGAAACTTTTTGTGTTAAAACTGTGTCCCACACATTTAAACTAAGTCTTGTCCAAGTGGGGAATCTGTACCAAAAAGATCAAGCAAAGCAAACGCTAGTTGCTTGATCCGTCGGCGCTGGCGACAGAGGGAGAAGGATGATGATGCTGTTACCAAGCTTGATCTGGAGTCAGTGTTCCTCCACGGTTTACAGGTTGAGCAGCATCTTTGAAAGCAGAAGCAGGTGACTGGTAGTCCCTCCTCGTCATCCTGTATCATCTGACCTGAGGACATCCACAAATGAAGCTCTTCATCCCTGTATGAATGATTCACAATGACTCAAACAGCTTCACCTCAAACGAATTAACGCACTAACCTACTGTCTGACCACCTACATGTGTTTCTTGCCTTGGTGTTGTCGTGGTGATGTTTGTGCTCTCAGCATATTCACAGATTGGCAAATACTTCAATGAATACAGAGATAATACAAATTATATTAAAATAAAATTCATTATGTAGGCCAATACACTCACTATGTTATAGTTATAATTAAAAAAAAAACCCAATCTATATAGAATATAATTTTACTGTTTGCTCATTTTGTAAATTCTTGTAGCCAAACTGATTTTACCAGCTACAGAGTACCAATGTTTGTTCCACTTATTTACAGGTTTATTTACCTTGAGAATCTTAAAAAGCATATAGTGAAATGATAGTTGGGAGTGGAACAATTTATTATATTTTGTACATTTAGCATACACTAAATCCAGACATGTGACTAATGAAAGAAAGAATCTTGAACTTGTGACTCCCTAAGTTCTACTTGGAGTAGTAGAGGGAGGGGGCACTGCAAATCATCATAAAGTGATTTACCTTTATCCTATGATGTAATATTTCTATCCTATTAGAAGACTTTACACTCCTACATAGCACCTACTTGAGGTGGTGCATTGATTTAAATACAGAAGTTTCACCCTTGCAAATATTTTTGCAAGGAAGCACCCCCCCCCCCCCCCCCAAATTCATGCAGCATGACCAAAGATTTGATTCTGCAGTCATGACAGAATAAAGATGGGAAGAAAGAAGTAGTGTGAGGACCAAGCTACAACACGCATGCCTTTATTTACACCTCCAAATAAGTCCATATAACAACATTGGACCGTCACTGCAGTCCAGTAGGGTTGGAGAGGCATGTAGCAAAGGAAGAGTCTGAAAATTATGTGAATAACATGTTTGAAGTCATCAGATTTTTATTATTAATCCTTTATTTATCCAGGTAAAAAATCTCATTGAGATTAAAAATCTCATTTCCAAGAGAGACCTGGCATCATGGCAACAAAAGTCACATACCACATAGGTATATAACATTTAAAACAAATGTCAACCCAAGATCTCACTTGAGAGACTGGTGGCTTCTTTTTCTTTCTTTTTTTTTTAAAGAATGGCGCACTGTCGTTCCTGAATAGTTCGAGAAACAAAGAAAATCAATTGCAAGGAACAATGAGGCTGTTCTGGAGGTCATGCTGGTACACTTAATATTGGGTTTTCCTTTAATATGTCACCAATCTCCACAGTTTCATCACCTACCACCTAACGGTGTTGATGGCACATGCCAGTTAAAATTAAGTAGTCAGTGCTCAGGCTCAAATTGCCTTTTAAAAATTATGCCCCAGTAGCTTAAATATTGAAATGGACTTTTTATCGCCTGGCCAAAAACATTTGGATGTTGATGGTGTGAGAATGGAACCTGTCGCAATTTTAAAAATATGACTAAAAATGACATGCATGCTTTTTCTAATTAGGATTCTCTTTTGCGTCTCCTCTAAATACAATTCCTTGGCAGTGTCAGCTTATTAAGGGTTCAGTTGCGGTACCCAGACATCCATTCAGTGTCTCTCAATAACAGGATGTGCTGAAACTGATTTGTCAGCCTTTGCCCGTTGGCTGAAGCAGCAACCGCAGATGCACGCATGCACACAAACACGTACATTATTTGAACACTCACTCCTGAGCCTGAATAAATATCGAAGCCCATCCGTCCACGGAGACAAAGACGCAATAGGAAACTTTCACCGCTCTGCAGTAACCAAGCAACCACTGGATGAGTGACTCAGGAAAGGAAGAGAGGAGCTGACTCACAGCAGCTGTGACGTAAACGATGTGAAAAGACACACACACACTCTCATGGTCGCACACACACGTATGCAGCAGGCCGTAAAGCCTGTAATCTGCCCTGTTTCGGGTAAATTAACACCTCACTGTGTAACAGGTGGACAGACTCGGGATAAGATTATAAAACTTCCAACCAGCCAAACCATGAACAGATACCTCAGTAAGAAAAGGAAAACACTGCACATTACACCCTTAGTGTCTCCAATTACTACACAGACTCCAAGGCATTATTAAAAAGCAAATGATACCTTTTCCTTATTCCTTTGTTAGTGCATTTCCTCTTAGAAAGCAAGTTTAAACTATCCAATGAAATCACCAGTGCGGCTCCACCCCCGAAATGTTTTAACTCTGTAAAAATAAAGAGAAGAACCTGTTTATCAATTTATATGCGTTGCTGCATCATGACACTGCATAATGTGTTGCACCATAATCTCTGAGCAGCAGCAGCAGGCATGCACAGTACCAGCACATGTCTTTTCTTACCTTGCATTCAGTCGGCCCAAGTAAGTCCCCTGATTTTAATGCATTGCAGGAACCTTATCGAGGAAAAAACAAGAGAGATAAGCTAAGCATACTGAGACGAGAGAGAGAGAGAGAGAAGAGACGGAGAGATGCACAGAAAAGCAGTTGGTGGGGGTTGGATGTGCAGTACACTCTTCCGGGAGAATTCCCGGCAGCAGAGTGCAGGACGGGGATCAATAACTTATCCCATCTAATGTAACACATCTGTCCTTGCTGATGGAGAATAGCAGCAGAGTGAATGTCACAGTGACATGTAGACTTATAGAAAATCTGTGATACTTTGTGGCTGTTACATTATTCTCAAAGATGTTACAGCATAAAATATGTAAACACGTGTGTGTTGGCAGCATTTCTTTACACTTTAAAATAAAACGATAAAGCATTTCTTTATGTTTTCCTAGGGAAATGGAAAATGGGTGCAATGATTTGTTGAATTATGTGCAAACATATATGGAGAAACAGTACATAAAGAGCCTTTTGTTCTGTCCTCTGTCGAGATGATCCCACAATGCTTGAATAATGTTGATGTCCAGGCTCTGAGGATGCCAATTCATTTTTTTGTCCAGGTGCACCTTTAATGCACTGGCAAGGTTTTTGCAACCACTGTCATGTTGAAAAACGAAACTATGAAACTGTTGTCAGTCAAACTCTTCTAAGATGTATTACAGTATTGAATAGTGGATCAAAACCTGACGGTACTTTTATATGTTCACAGTTACACAACTTTTAACAAGACCCTCAACATCACTGGCAAAAAGCAAAAAACGCAACTCCAAACCATCACAGTGTTTTCACGTGGTTGTACCTCTCACTTTCCTCTCTCCTGAAAAAGAGCAGTGCAGCATTTTCCAAGATTTACATGAGAAGTAATTTTGTGACACACTACACTGCTGACATGCACACAAAGTAGGGCAAGTCAAATCTCAGAAGTAGAACCATTTACAGCTTAACCTTAATATTTGCATATTTGCCAACAAAAGTGTTTCCCTTGAAAAAGGAGTTTCAAATAAAAACACAACATGACCAAAAGATAACTTCATGCATTAGAATAAAGTGTCCAGTTTGTGTCTGACCTGCTGAAGATTAAAAAAAAAAAACCTGTCTCCTTAGCAGTGATCCTAAGAGTATATATTCCACGCATTTGTAAGGCCAAATACTTGGAAAGACCCCGACAGTCTCATGAGTATTGTTTCAACAATGAATAGCGCTCCCTCTAGAGGTTGGAAGCAGAATAGCAGGCAGTTTTAGGAGCCGTTCCTACTGAAAACTGGAGACCTGGCATAAAAAATAAATACATTCAAACCCCGATATGAAATACACTTCCTACTTTATACATATTAGACTGCTAATGTTGCTGTAGGCTATAATATGTTTCACCTAAAGATGGAAATAATATTAAAGCTGCTTCTGCTGGATCATTGCAGCTATAAATAATATGTTTACCACAGCTGTTGACACTGCTTCTGCACATTGTTCCCCTTTTTTTCTGGTTTTACTTTTTATTATCACCATACAGCTTTTCTGTTGACTTAGTCCTCCCCTTGGCAACAAAATCACTGATGCTGGAGTTCTGCTTTACACACCCAGACAGCATCAGGATGTTGTTCCCAGAAGGAAACAGCATTCACCATTCAGTCCATCTCTGCTTTTCAATAGGAAAAAAAAAGGATGTGAACCAAGCCAAAGAGATGGACAGATGGTGTTTCCATACAGAATCCATCCTTTTTGCTTATTGCCAAACTCCTCCTTCCGCTCATTTCACCAGTGTAGAGTCGTCTTCCCGGGAATCATGTCGCACGGCAACCTTCATCCATATCAGGTCAGCCAGGGCACCCTGACTGCTTACAGTACAGTGTTTCAGTACAGTCAACGTTTTATTTGACTGGACTTAGCAGTACATATGAGAATGTGATGGAGTGGCAGAGCTGAAAGCCTTCTCACTGGCACAAAATGCGAGCTTGTTCCGCTCTATTTCACGTTCTATTTTCACATTGGAGCAATGATGAATGTGTCCTGTCTGAGTTTCCCATAATCAGATATGTCGACAGCTTCTGCATCCAAATGTCAGATGTATGATGCAGCTTTAGTTTCGATCAAACAGGAAGAAGGCCGGTAGCTGTATTTTATTATTTTCTGTAGTTTATTATTTCTCTAAAGTACTGGAGAAGTGATGATAGTCAAGCTGGCTTATTTTGGGCCAACTCATCATGGCACAACCTGTGACATCATTTGGAGCAGGCATCAAGAAGTGAAGGAAAGGAAAGACAAGAATTAGAACTGTGTTAAGCTCAAAAGGGGGGACACAGTACAACACTGACTTGACACATGTGACTTGAAGAGCTTTTGAAATTCATAATTGGCTAGTTTGGACTGGCTTTGGGTCACCGCTCCAATTGAGTTGTAAGGAGCACAGTGCATGCCAAGAGATCTGTGCGACTATCCTTTTACACTGTAGGCGCAGAATCATCATATTCAGCCGGCAGACGGCAAGTGACACCAAACAATCCGTGAGAGGAGGGTAATTGGAGATCACTGGGCTTATTCTGAGCGTGCCAAGTACACGGTGCTCAAGACCCCTGAGAGAAACATATGGAGCTCCAGTCCCTAAAGCCACTGTCTTGGCAGCCGTGGAATGAGACACGGCAAAGCACTGTGGGTAATGTACAGCAGCATCCAGTAAGAATGCCGCTGGTGCTCTTTGCAGCCTTTATTTGGACACGGCTCGGTCTCATGGGCGCAGATGAGAGAAGCTGAGAGGGAGTGAAATGCTACACTAAAAAAACATCATAAAACGTAATAAATATGTCACCCTGTTGGTTTAAGGTGTGCAGTCCTAGCAGTAATAAAACTGTAACATCCTCTTTTTTTGGAAAACTGTTTGAAGGAAAAGCCGGTGTGCCAGCTCTGCATCTGTGAAATGAATGACTAAGCTGCTTCGCATCAGCTGTACAGTGCACAGCTCCCTTTGCAGAGAGAAAATATTTTAATAGTGGCTTTTATATGAACACATGAGTGTGTAATCTGTCTCAGATCATAGGCCCTCTGTTGACAGCAGTACACCTGCTCTTCCAGATCTCTGAGAACACTGCCAGTCTGTCTGAACTAGCCAGTGCCAGGGGGCATACTGCATTGGGGAAGGCGTGACTGTGTGTTTGAATAAAAAAGAAGCGGACAGACAGATATAGGATCAGACAGGAGTGTATGAGAAGCTCAGATCTTTGTCAGCTGGGTAGGGATGAGGTGGAGTTGGGTGGGATCTATCTGAACTCATTCTTTGGTGATATGAGGACATAAAGTGTAATATGTTAGTCTAAAAACTGTAGGCTACTTCAAGAATGACTTGCACAGGATGGGAAATGTGAATCATTTTAATATATCCATACTTTAATTAGATATTTAAGCCACGAGCCCATTATTGTTCTATTTTGGGCATGTCAAACATTTGGCCTCCAATCTGATACCCAAATCTGGCTCTAGCTTTTTCAGTAAATTTAAACATTTGTTTATGCCATTTTAAGCTCAAATAGTTGAGATATTTCTTTCGTTTACTACAGAAGCATTTCTTTCTCATGTAGAAAAACTGGTGTATACTGTTGAAACTGAACCGCTTTATCTCATATTAAGATCTCTGACAGATTAAATGTGTGATTAAACTTCTTTGCACTGAAAGCAGGGGGGTTTCGCCGATCTGGCCCACTTAAGGTCAAAAGTGGCGCATGGTGCAGAATTGCTTTGACATCCCTGTTCTACTTCCTTGGGATTACTAATTAGACCTGGCCTCTGAATTTGACTCCATAACCACTAAATAAAGGAAGAAGTGAAAAATATGAAGTGAAAAAAAGTTGAATGACTTTATTTAAGGAAAATGACATAAAAACACAAGTTTGCTGATGCAAAGGAGCTGACCTTTATTAAAATAAACTTTACCTTTAACATTTTTTTTCTTAGTGATTAAAGAAAATCACACATTTAGGCTTAAAAAATGTTCATCTTATGAAGTGGATGTTTTTTTTTAAATACTGGTACAGATCATAAGAAACATTGAAAACAGGAGAATAGTCCAGCCTCCTACCACTTGGTGGCAGTAGAGTGTAAAAGTTAGCCTCAAGTGGCATATTAAAAATTGCTAAGTACTTTATTTCACACACTAACACACAAACTGTAAAGCATCCTAGCAGGGAAAATTGGTGATGCTACATTTGCGATATTTGATTTTCCAGACATTCAGAGCAAGGAGGAGAGCAGCTTTTATCACTTAAACCGCTACATCAGCCGGTTGGTGCAACCAACAAACCAAGTGGTGAAAGGCCTGACCTGTCTGTCACTTGGTAGCTGTCGCACTTATCCATGTAAACACTTACCTCATCCAGTGCTGTAATGAAAGTGCTGCTAAGGGCTCAGCTCAGCAGGGCAAAGTGATACTTCAGCATTAAAAAAAGTGAACATGCAGAGTTCATACATGTGAGAAGGAATTTCCTTAAACTGTCAGGACTGCTGGCGAGCCAACGACAGAGAGAAAAACTGTTAAAAGGCTTGACTGTGACCTCTGACCTGTACATACACACTCACATTTAGGCACACATACTTGATCACAGCTGCGGTGCTCCTCGACTGGTTTGAAGTGTTTTTGAAGGAGCTGAGTTCAAGCACTCGTTGACAGAGCTCTAATTTACACACAGGCACACAGACAGCCCTGATCAGATAAGAGCAGATCTGTTTCAGCGGCTAATCTTACATGTGATGAGATTTACAGGGGCTTGTGGCATTGGAATATACATAACTATCTTTATTTGGGAATCAAGCTCTGCCCAGGGCTATATCCTCTATCTCACACTATAGGAACAGGAAACAGGACACTATGCTTTCATGATGAATCCTTTTATATAGTGGCTTGTTTTGGTCTGTGGTTCTCAGCAGTTTTTGGTTAGACCCTGTAGCAAACAATAAAGCCTGGAACACTTACATAAATCACTGTCTGTGAACACAGTTCACCGTGCCATCCTCGAATCCAGGTTAAAGCTCTGTAATG